AGCTTATCTCGGTTCCTATAGCATGAAGTGACTAGGAATTTTGCTACTCCCCCCTTGATGGGATGCTAGTCCATTGCAGGGTTACCCCCAGCATTAAATTCACTGGTAGCCATTTATACACCTGGGTAGAGAGAGGCACAAGGCAGTGACAATGTACCTGTTCTGCTACACTCTTCAAATCTCCTAAAAGTGCAACCTCTGCAGGAACATTGTTTTCCATTTCCTCTGCATGAAGATCAATCTATGGGCAAAAAAAAATCCAATAAGAATTTAGATATTAATTTACAATTACCAGACTTCAACTGTTTTTACATGTTTATACACTGAACTCGAACTTCTCTCAAATTTATAATGTACTATCAAGAATGTAATATTTGATAATACATCATGCAGAAATTAATCTGAGTCTAGAGGAGAGATTATACTTTATCAGTTAACTAGAAAAACTGTCTACTTTGAACAATCCGAATGTCCTATACCTGGATTATTTTAACATCAGCTTTGAACCTCTGAGGTTTCCCAAAATGCAGAATCCAGTTTAATCTTGCTCCAAACAGAAATATCATATCAGCTTGAGACAAGGCTCTGACAAAGAAAAAAAAAAAAATTCATGAACAACAATCTTAAGCAATTGCTCAAAAATATATCGCTCCTTACATGTATATGAGCTTGGTAATATTGTTGTTGTATTGTATCATATCAATCTTGCACAGGTGACTGTGACCAACATTAATAGCTGTATGGAAATTTCAGGAGAAGCTGCATGGAAGCATGAAAGACACAATTTGTGGAGAGACCACAAAGGATGCAATTGCCTGTATACACCTGTAACCTTTGCATTAGTACATTCAACCTTGTTCCTAGGGTCTCTAGCAGGGTAGGGAGGAGGGTTCTAGCACTCTTTCACTCTAGGAGGTGAGGGTGGGGCATGTGAGGGGGATGAGGAGTCCCGCCCCTCTCTCACGCGAGGGGGGTGGAGGGATGGGAAGAAGAGAGCCCCTTGGTATGTGGTTGTGCACACATTGTGCTTGTATGACACTAGGAACACATTGAATGTACCTTGATCTGGCTGCCGCAACACACAGGGGATGTTCATCAGAAATCACTCCCTTCCCCATGGGTGTGGGGAGAAATGGTAAGTTGCATCTCTCAACAAACTCCTGAAGAGGCTTCTCAGCATGTGCATAAGCTGCACCTATATTAAAAAATGAAACACAGTCAAGACCCTACCATTGAAGTAAAATCTAATGTTTCTTCCAGCATGAGTATTTGTTGTGTCCTTACCTTTGCCAATTATTACAAGGGGTTTCTTTGCTTCTCTAAGAACCTTGATTGCTTTTTCCACTGCAGATGGATCTGCAAGACACTTTGGAGGAGCTGGAGAACACCGAATTGACCTTTGAAGAAAATATTAACCCTGTCACTCAAACCTGAAAATATCTAAACTTCCCTCACTAATTTTCATACAATGAAAACTGCCTTATAGCCACCCCATCGGTATGGCTACCTCGTTATTACGCCCACTTTATTCTGGCCCAAGCAAAAGCTCAGTCAGTCATTTCCTTATTCAAAGAACCCCTTCAAAATATAGCCACCCCATTAATACAGCCATATTTTTGTGGCCTGTTAGTGATTGGATTAATGGGGTTCCACTGTACTTACATGAACATCCCTAACTTGATGCTAGTTCTGAAAGTTTCATGATATCCTCAAGTTGATGATTTTCTGTTTTCTCATGACCTTACTACTGGATACCAAATTGATATTGTAAGGAGAAACTAGTCGATGTTGATCACTCGTGGGAATTAACAAGTTAGAAAATTTATTTAGGTGCACATGAATACTAACAGGTTATAAGTCACCTTGCCTTACAGGCTGCCACTTTCTCTGTGATCATATTTCCTGGCAAGTCCAGATAACAAGCTCCTGGTCTACCATATATACTTGTTCGCACAGCCTAGGAAACTAGTGAAAATTAGCACGAAATCTATTATCAGGTTTGATTTGATTGTTCCCAAAAGTAACTCCTCATTAAGGATTTTTCATTTGAGAATATACAACATTCTAATGTGTACTACACAATTTGCTGAATAAAACAAGAAAGGTAACAAATTAATATTTCATAATTTACTGCTCCAATTCATAATGACCATTCACCTTTTCAACAAAGAATGGTATCTCGCCTGCACAGCTTGGTCTTGCAGAATACTTGGCATAAGGTCTTGCTGCTTCAACCTGGAACAATTTGCAGCAAATTTATAACAATTATGTTGTAGATATTAGATATTTGTAGATACTTTTGAGGGAGGACTGTGATGGCCTAATGATTAGTATGGTGGACTCTGAATCAACTGGTTAAGACTCAACCAAAGGCAAGGGTTGTTGTGCTGTGTTCTTAGGCAAGACACTTTACTCTTGCAAAGCCTCTCTTGTCCCAGGTGTATTGATAATGGGTACCGACAAATTTAATGCTAGGATGTAATCACTGTGATGATCTAGAATCTCATGCAGAAGGGGAGTAGAAATATTCCTAGTAGCCTCACACTATAGAAACCAGAGATAGCAATGGCCCCATAGTCATCATCAAGTTGTGATGCAGTTACATTAAGATATGCCACATTTGGAGAGGACTCAAGAAGCTAAAGAGTTGATGCTGGCTCTGCCTCAAGCAACTTTTGCACTTCTTCTGTGCTCTTGAAACCTCCTGCATGCATCTAAACTGATCCATGGATTACCGCTTAAGCATGAATTAAATGTTCCAGAAAATCTAACCCAGATATATGTTCCCTACACGTATGACAGTCAAGCTATAATTATAATTATCATATTTATTTAAATATACTTCTGTACCTGTGGAAATTCCTGAAAAGCACCCATGCTTTCTTGATCAACATCACTTGAACCACCAATCACTAAAACTGGCCTGAAGACAAAACACCAACAATATAAATCGCCATTATCTACCTGCCAACTCTCATGGCTTAGGCACGAGTGACAAACTTGTCAGTCTCCTGACAAGTTTGTACAAGGTCCCATATAAAGTGCACAGTCTGAATAATATTTTGCACACTAACCAGCAGTTACTCATGGCATTTGCCATTCCACCCAGGGCATGTATTAATCCTGGTCCAGAAACCACAAGGCAAACACCAGGTCTGCAACAAAAATCAAAAAGTTCATTTTACATTGTACACTGTTCAAAGGAGATGTAATAAGTATTAAAATGATTTACAAATCAATACAATTAATTATCAGGGTAAAAATAGAAATATATAACAGAGCAACAAATAAGAAAGTTGTTGATGAAAGGCTGGCCACTTGGAGATTAATAAATGTGATGACTAATAAGCAAATAATAAATACTTAAAACTCACGAGCAATAAATAAAGCATTACTTTTATTGCTCATGTTATGAAGCAGCTATCACAAGCCAGCAACTGGTGCTGTGAGAAAAGAAAAGAAATTAAAAAAAGAAAAGGGACTGAAACACAAACAGTTCTACTAAGAGAACACACTGGACCCATTGATTAACTCAGTCCAAGACTGCCAGAGAGTATTAATAAAGTACTAAGTCTACAAAATATCTCACCTCCCAGTTAGATATCCAATAGCTGATGCTGCATAGCAAGCCTGTAGACAAGACAGGGAGATAACAGCCTTGTAAAATTAATTTATCAGGTATGTACATAGCATGCGCAGTCTACTTTTCTACAGGAA